GGGGAGAAGGGGGGGGTCATGCTTAGACAGAATCAGGACAGCAGTGTTCAATATTATTTAGACCTTAGGTTAAACTTACAACAAATAGCACACGCCAAGGTAAACCATCACAACCACCATCACGTGCACCTTGGGAAATACATATATGAGATCAGCTCAGCGTTGTACAAATACAGAATAATCATTACACCTAGCCTAGCAGCCGCTTCGGAAATACAAATCTACTATATCACATTTGGGAGTATGACGCCCGGCAGGCCACGATACGGGCGGGGGTACCGGTCCAATCTCCTTTGTCACAAATGACGCCATGTTGTTAGGAAACTGCGCATTTCATTAGCGTCTCTTCGTCTGTTTCTCCCAGGGAAACACCATATCGATCTGAGACGTCGTGCACGCGGAACGTCTCTAAATCAACCGCATGGCCCAAAAGGATGGGGGGGGGGGCGTACAGCCGACCGCGTCACTGCGCTGTCTCCACCCTGGACGCCGTGCTTCGGAAGTCTGAGGTGAAGAGCGTGTTGGTGCTCGTGGTCTTGCCGCGTACGGCGAGCCCCGTCGTGAGGCGGCAGTCCGCGTTGACGGAGGGGTTGGTGGAGTAGGCGGGCGGGGGCGGCGCGCGGCCCAGGCGCACGGCCAGCGCCTGCAGCACCTTGCGCTTGAGCACGAAGATGGCGAAGATCATGACGCCCTGCAGGGCGTTGGCCGTGTCCGACAGGTAGAAGATGGAGTGCTCCCGGGGGAAGAAGGTGGACACGAGCTCCAGCACCCACGTCACCCCCATCACCACGAACAGCTTCAAGTTCATCTTGAGCCTGCAGGGAAAGCAAACGAGGGATGGATGACGCCGTGGCGGCGCGACAAAGAGCGGTCGAAGTAGAGTTTCCAGGGCCACACTAGGAAAAGCGTACCTCTGATTTCAAGTCAAAAAGTGCTTCCGTTGTCCTCAAGGAAATTTTGACTGATGTAAAGCTAAATTTCATCCGCTCAAGGCAATTCCCCTAGGCCTATATTTACTGAATTCAGCTTTAGAACAGAGTCATACTTTCCTTTGGGACTACACGGAAGCACGTTTTGGCGTACCGTACGTAACCCGCCGCCACTCACTTGTTGGAGTCCGCCTGGAACTTCTTGACCTTCCTGGAGTTGGACGCGGTGTGCATGCGATTGATCTCGCTCTTGATGCGCGAGTAGTTGAGGACCGTCAGCACGAACAGCACCACGTTGGAGCACGTCTGCACCAGCAGCGGGCCCGCGAAGAAGATAAGGATGCCGAAGGCTGTGGAGGGAAGGAACGCGCAGGATTAGGAATCCAGTCGCGGAGTCTGCAGTAGCCACCTGGCCGTCTTAGGCCGTACACACTAAAATCTTATGGACGTTTCTTAACTCAGCTTACTGAGTTTAGTATGAACAAATTTCTTAATACTGGCGTGATGAAAAATGCGTCAGCAGAGCGTATTTACAGAACTCAGGAAGCTATAAAATAGAAATTTTCCAAAGATTATAGTGCGTAAGCTGCAAAATGGCTGCAAAACAATATCGAAATGAGGTTGGTTATATCTGTTCAAGGTCGAGCGTTTTCGATACTATCGACCGCTTACCCTTCTCGAAGGGCTCGGTCCTGAACCAGCAGGAGCCGTCGCCGATCTGCGGGCGGAAGACGCTCTTGTCGTTGCCCGGCCACTGGTCCACGGTGATGCAGATGACGGTGATGAGGCTGGACAGGCCCCACGCGTACACGCAGTACCAGCGGAAGCGTCGCGACGCGCTGGACCGCTTCACCGCTCGCGAGGAGGTCATCCCGCTGCAAAAGTGTGCAAGTTGAACAGTTCAAACACTCGCGGGGAGTCGTAAACATCGAGAGTGTGTGTGAACTTTTTTCATCATTTGACGGGGGGACAAAAATGACGTGAACGAATGCCACCCATGCAATGCTTTGATTTGGTTTGCTCTCTCTTCGGAATTAAAATGGGGTCAGCTGTCGCGGACGCGACCCACATTCCTCCACCTCGACCTCTCGAACCTCGTCTCGAACATCCCCTATCGTCATCCCCCAAGGACATACCTCTGTTGGCGCCTGTATATAAACAGGCGAGGGGTGGCAGGGCGTGGCGGGTGGGCGATATCCGTTAATGAGTTGGCTCTCTCGGCCCTCACCCCCGCTGACGACGCAGCAACCCTCCCTCCGGGAGGGAAGGGGGGGGGGTCACCCTGCCCCACCTCACTCCGCCTAGCCCCGCCCCACCACCGCTGTGTGGAGAGGTCGTCGCCAAGTCCCGACCGGAAGCCACACCGCTCGACGCCCGGGCCATATTGGCGTAGCTAGTAGAGGCCTTGCGCACGCGAGAGAGAGACAGAGAGGGAGAGAGAGAGGCTGAGGCAGAGAGGGAGAGAGAGTGTATACGCAGACGCAGCCCAGAGTCGTATAGGACAGTACACATGCGGCGGCCCAGCTGCAGAGGGGGTGGTGCTGCTCTTCTGGATGCAGCGCGGGGGCGGGCGGACGATAGCAACGAGACCACACGACGGACGAGACGGACGGGTGGGGTCGACCTGGCGGAGCTGTCAAGGAAGGACGCCTCGGTCAACAGCCGGCGTCAATGTGTCAACACACCGAGGATCCGGCGCACCTCTCCACCCCCCCTCTCTCTGCGCCCCCTCCCC